TCAGAGAAACCATATTCATTTAGATAACATTTTAGTCACAATCTCTTCACTAAGTAATTATTTCGGGTTTCAAAGTACATCATCTCTTTCACTAAGAAAAGTGGGAAAAACCTTGTAGCATGAATCAGTTTTTTCAATGTTTCCCATCCAAGTAATATCCAGAAGTCACCCTGCTAAACTTCAGATAGCAGATGAGATAGGATGAATTAAGGGTGGTACAGCCATTTATGACTTTCAGTGTTTTGATTTTCACTTTCCATGTGTATGTTTGAAATCAGTTATATTTCAATGTAGACAAACATTTATTTTAATGGAAATAATTTTATGCTTCCTTTTACTTCTTAAATAATATCACAACCTATGTTTTTTCAGAGAAATAATGATAAATAATGTTAATGAAAATAATGATGGACTGACTTTAATTCTTTCTCAATAAATGATACTTGTTAAATTTTTACATTATATAAAATTTCTGAAAAAAAATGTGAAGATTTCTGGGCTTTTGTTGCACGTTATGATATAGTAATTTGAATATATTAATTTTAACCAACCAAGATTTATCAGAATATTTTAACATTTCTTTGATTAGAAAAAATATTTGTTATGGAAAGAATGCTATAGAATACATTCACTTGGGCTGCACTTGAGCATTAAAAGGTAAGGAGAATGAGTCACATGTTAATTGTCACGGTTAAAACACTTTTTCTTTAAAAGAGTTGAATTGTTTTGATGTTATTTAAGGCAGCCAAATGTCTCAGACTTATTTCTGCTAGTCATTTTGTATCTAATCACACATTTTAACTCCTTTTTTTAATGTTATTTAAGAAGTATCTAATAGATTTAACTCTTTTGGAGCACCATGTCTTCTTCATGAAGACAAGAGGGCAACAGGCATGATTATTCTTAAACACTGATTTTTATTCCCTATTTTCTCCCAAATGTCAATCTTCTCTTACTTTCTGTCTTGACAGCGTAAAATGCACTTATTGTTTCAATACATTTTTTGGCGCTTTTCCAAGAGGCTTCTAGCTATTCTAATTAGTATGCCTTATTCTGGAAAAATTCACATAGCCTCTCTGATAATTGTCAGAATTTTATTTTCTTCTTATAACAAGTTATTAGTTAAGTGCTGTTAAGAAAGGGGTTATTTTTCCTCCAGATAATAAAAAATGTTGTGCTTGGGTCTCTGAGGCATAAATTATAGTCAGTAGCAATGTACCGGTATTAAAATTCAACATAATTAAAATTGAGAGTGGGATATAATAAACTCACTAAGGGAAGAACAACATTTCCTTCCAGCATGTCGAATACAAATGTAAGTAATATTCTCTTTGAAATTAAGGGTAATTTAATTTAATTTTAATTAAACATGAATATAAGAACCTGTTATAAAAAAATGTTCACTGTTACTGTTAGTTAACTCACTTTAGAATTTGTAGTACTTAGTTAAAAATACCAAAAAAGCTTTCTTAATTTTGGTAAATCATATTTTATTTATATGGAATATTTTTTTGTTACAATGTAAAACTGCATCCACCTACTTCTATAGACATGCTGTTTAACATATAAAGAAATTAGAGGTGATATACTTGAAAGAATAATAAGCTTTCAATTACTTTGTGGCACAGAGCTATAGTCAGTATATGGATAACAGAATGATGAAGATAAATAAGAAATTATATGTCATTGTATTGTGAATTCTTTCAAAATTCTAGTAAATTAATGTAAAAGAAAACACGTGATACATATTTCTTTACTATACAAAACAAAGTTAGCCTTCAAGATGCAGCCAAATATCCACTTCAATAAAGGCAGCTAGTGTCAACTATTCTCCAAAGATTTTCAAAAGCACTACACAACAGTACATAGAATCTCTTATTTGTTCTGTATGTGTAAATGCCAGTAAAACATTGTGATTATTGATGAATGCTGAATGAAAATATTGTATAAGATATCCAAAGGCATTTTGGCTTTTAGCTTTACACTAAGAAAACACAGTAAGATAGATATTACACATCTCTGATTAAAATTATTTGGTTTTCAAATTTAAGCACATTTTTAGATAATTTTAAGATGTGGGAAATGAGCACTTATGCTTATATCTACAGATATTTACATATAATTTTTGGGGCCAACATCATAAATGCAAATAAATTGTAGTTGCAAAAAGCCCTCAGTTACAAAGCATAACATTCTTTTCTTCCTTAAGAGCACAGTACTGTCACTGACAACAGAATCTCAGGAGTATATAAAACAATTGTGTTTAGAATAATTGCAATTATGCCCGTATTTCTGAAATTTATATTACATAGGTTATACTCAGCTATTAAATATTTAATTGTACAGAGCTCTCGTCTCACTTTTATTGTTCTTATGCCTCTTTTCTAGGCCAGTGTTTCTCAGAGCCCTAGAATCATCAAAAGCCTCATCATCACCCCGAGGCTTGTGAGTTGTATGTGTTAGATATGGGCCTCAGAAACATGTATTTTAATAAGATCTACAGTTTATTTTGACCTTGAGAGCCATTGTCCAGATTGTTCTCACCTATGCCTATGGCTTCAAATATCATTATCACTGTAGATGATTCACAAATTATATCTCCAGTTAAATTGTTTTTGAGGTGTGTGTCTTTTAATTTATTTTTTCTATTTATTTATTTACTTTAATTTATTCACTTTGTATCTTGGCTATAACCTCTCCCTCATCTCCTCCCAGTTCCACCTCCCTCCCTCTTCTCTCTCTATCCCCCTCCCCTAGCACACTGATAGGGGAGATCCTCTTCCCATACTATCTGACCCTAGCCTATGAGGTCTCACTAGGACTGGCTGCATCTTTTCCTCTGTGGCATGGCAAGGCTGCCTCCTCAGGGGAAGATGATCAAAGAACAGACCACTGAGTCCATGTCAGAGACAGCTCCTGTTCCCTGTAAGGAACCAACTTGGAGACTGAGCTACCTATGGGCTACATCTGAGCAGGGTTCTAGGTCCTCTCCATGCATGGTCCTTGATTGGAGCCTTTTATCTCTGCAGGCTACACCTGGCGCCAGATTTTTTGGTTCTGTGGGTCTCCTTGTGGAGCTCCTGAACCTTCTAGGTCTTTCTATCTTCCTATTCTTCCATAAGATTCTCTGCACTCTCCCCAAAGTTTGGCTATGAGTCTCAGCATCTGAATCTGGAAACAACCTAGATTTCCCTCAACTGAGGAATGAATACAGAAAAGTGCGATACACAATGGAATATTACTTAGCAATGAAAAACAAGGAAATCATGAAATTTGCAGGCAAATGGGTAGAACTAGAAAAGATCAACCCGAGTGAAGTATCTCAGAAGCAGAAAGACACACATGGTATATAGTCACTTAAAAGCAGATATTAGCCATATAAGATAAGATAAACATACTAAAATCTATAGTCCTAAAGAAGCTAAACAGCAAGGAGGACCCTAGGGAAGAGACTTAATCCTCATTCAGAAGGGCAAACAGGATAGATGTTGGAAGCAGGAGAAGAGTGGGAACAGGACAGGAGCCTCTCTTGTTTTTTTTTTTTTTTTAATTTTATTTTTTTCTTATCAGTTACATTTTTATTAACTCTGTATCCCAGCCGTGTCCCGATCCCTCATTCCCTCCCTCCCTCCCTCCCTCCCTCCCTCCCTCCCTTCCTCATCTCCACCGTGCCCCTTTCCAAGTCCACTGATAGGGGGGAACCTCCTCCCCATTCATCTGATCCTGTTTTATCAGGTATCTTCAGGACTGGCTGCAAAGCTCTCCTCTGTGGCCTAACAGGAGGTGGGGTGGGGAGGCCAAAGAGCCAGTCATTGAGTTCCTGTTAGAAATAGTCCTTGTTCCCCTCACTATGGGAAACCAATTGGTTACTGAGCTACCACAGGCTACATCTGAGCTGAGGTTCTAGGTTATATCCATACATGGTCCTTGGTTGAATGTCAGTCTCAGAAAAGACCCTGTGCCCAGATATATTTAGTCCTTGTGGAGCTCCTATCCTTTCCCCATCAGACTAACTCCACCTCTTTCTTATGATTCCCTGTACTCTGCCAAAGGTTTGGTCATGAGTCTTTGCTTTGAAAACACTGCTAGGTAGAGTCTTTCAAATGCGCTCAGTAGACTCCTGTCATACGTTCAATGCACATCCCATCTGTCTTTCTAAATGAGGATTGATCATCTTACCCCATGTCCGCTCTCTTGATTATCTTTTTTAGGTGTACAGATTTCATTATGTTTATCATATCTTATAGGTCTATATAAGTGAGTATATACCGTGTTTGTCTTTCTCCTTCTGGGATATTTCACTCAGGATGATCTTTTCTAGATCCCACCAATTGCCTGCAAATTACACCAACAGCACAGACTCTAAGAGCAACAATCAATAAATGGGACCTCATGAAACTGAAAAGCTTCTGTAAAGCAAATGACACTGTCATCAAAACAAAACGACTGCCTACAGATTGGGAAAGAATCTTCACTAACTCTCTTGGTTTTTATGTCAGAAGTCTAGTAGTCATCCTTGACACTTTTTACACCTTCACTTCCCATACAAAACTGAGTTGCTTTATGTTCTAAATATATTTTGAACATATCTACTGGTTTTCCATTTCATTTCTACCATTATAGTCCAAGTAAGTCTTTTTACCTATCTCACTGTAAGCCCTTTAGTCTTTTCCCCCAATTTCTTCTTGAATGATCCACCTATCTCTGAAATGCTTTTAAACAAAATGCTTTGGTTTCTTTGCCTCTTCAAATAAAGTTATTTACTTGATGGTCTATAAAACTTCAGTGTATGAGTGCACTTTTCCTATAAGTATAATCTTGCCTCATTATTTTACACATACTGATACCCTGGCCTTCTAATACACTAAATAACATTAGGATGAAAATGAAATATTGTTTAATTTTTAAAATGCCATTATTTTCTATAATTGAAGGACACAACTGTAACGGAAGTTTTTTTCAATATCCACTAAGCGAATAAATGAGCATAAACTACTTACTAATTCATCTCATTCAAGCATGTGCCAGCAACGTAGAAATCCTTGATTATTGTATGGGTGGCTTGGAAAGCCCTATGGTTAAAAACAAAAAAAAAAGCGAAAAGCAAATAATTAATTTCTCTTTCTAACAACCTTTAAAACATTTAATAGTGTAAGAATATGAAAGGATTGAATCTGACATCTGGCAAAATAGCTAATACAGTGTTTTTCAACCTGCGGTCATGAACACTTTGGCAGGGCAGGTCAAATGACCCTTTCATAGTCATTGCCTACGACTATTAGAAAACACAAACATGTACATTATGATTCAAAACATTAACAAAATTATAGTTATGAAATAGAAACAAAGATAATTTTATGGTTCGGAGTCACCACAACATGAAACACTGTATTAATGGGTCACAGCTTTAGAAAGGTTCTAATATATATTTAAGTAAAATAAAGCCTTAAAGGTTAAATAATTTGCTAAAAGTAATATGTTAATAACAGAAACTTAAGGGGGGACATCGTTTTTATTTTATTTTTTTAATCAAGTACTCTGATAATATTCTGTTTCTTAGAAGATTTAGAGCACTACTGTTTTTTAAATTAAATTTTTATTTTTTATATAAGTTACATTTTATTCACTTTGTATCCCAGCTGTAGCCCCCTCCCTCATTCCTTCCCAATCCCACCCTCCCCCCCCATCTTCTCCCTGCCTCTCTCTAAGTCTACTGATGGGGGAGGTCCTCCTCTCCTTCCATCTGGTCCTAGTTTATCAGGTCTCTTCAGGACTGGCTGCAATGTCCTCCTCTGTGGCTTAACAAGGCTGCTCCTCCCTCGGGGGTTGGGAGGAGATCAAAGAGCCAGCCACTGAGTTCATGTCAGAGACAGTCCCTGTTTCCCTGACTAGGGAACCCATTAGGATACTGAGCTGCCATTACATCCCGGCAGGGGTTCTAGGTTATATCCATGCATGGTCTTTGGTTGGAGAAACAGTCTCAGAAAAGACCCCTGGAGCACTATTGTTTTTAAGCAAACTGGTAAACTAGGATGATTTAAAATAACTGAGTTATTAATCAGATTTTATGCTTTTATAGAATAATGAAGTTCCTTTCAGACAGTTCTTTTAAATTTCAATAGGTATTTTTGTTGATATGTAAAAACAAATAATGTGATTATTTTCTTTCTTTTGATCTGTGTCTTGTCAGTAGCAAATGATGTGCTTTTGCCTATGAAATAATTCATATCTATCCATATATCTATATATTTTCTATCTGTCATATATTTTCCTACCTACATTTTACCTAGCTGTCTGGAAAGAAAGGCAGTACTTGAATACTAACAATATATAAATTATGCCTTGCTGGAAAAATAAAAATTTTTTGATAATCTAACTTAGCTTAACATACCCATTAATATCACTACAAATTACATATGAATATAATCCAAATTCTCATTCTTTGCTTGTAGGCTATGCTTTTATGTATTTAATGATAGTAGAATTAATAGAAATTTATTTTTTATTTTTTTAATATTAGTTACAGTTTATTAACTTTGTATCCCAGCTGTATCCCTCTCCCTTATTCCCTACCAATCCCACCCTTCCTCCCTTATCTTCTCTCTGCCCTGTTCTAAGTCCACTGATAGGGGGAGCTAGTATGACCTGGAGAGGATAAGAGCTCCATAAGGACCAAATATATCTGGGCACAGGGGTCTTTTATGAGACTGTATCTCCAACCAAGGACCATGTATGGATATAACCTAGAACCTCTGCTCAGATGTAGCCCATGGTAGCTCAGTATCCAAGTGGGTTCCCTAGCAAGGGGAACAGAGACTGTTTTTGACATGAACTCAATGGCTGGTTTTGACTATCCCCCCTCTCCCCCCGAGGGAGGAGCAGCCCTGCTAGGCCACAGAGGAGGACTTTGCAGCCAGGCATGAAGATACCTGATAATCTAGGGTCAGGCGAAAGAGGAGGAGGTCCTCCCCTAACAGAAAGTTTTATGTACCTCTCATTCATTAATTAATATATTTCATGGTTTATATTTCCATGTACAAAACATATACTTTCAAGTAGAAAATGAACGACTAAACAGTGAAGATTTTTAAAAATGTTCTGTTAAAACAGAACCCTGAGAACATCAATTTGAATACAATTGATGTAATATAAGGCACTTTGTAATATTACAGGATATTTATGACACTGAGTTTCTTTTGGTCAAAATCAAACTCTTGCATAGTTCCTATTATAGTATTTTCTAGTAAAATGAATATAATTTGATTGTGTTCCTTTCAATATAAGCTGCTGATTGCTCTCTTGTGGATTTTAAAATTCACTTTAGAAAGCCATTTTCTGATATCCAATTTCATACAAAATGTTTTTTCTATAATTACCTTGATTCTGCAATTTTATTTTACTCTAGCAAGAAAGGATCATCCTTATACTGTTTCATTTACTATGGCATTGTTTTCAATTAGTATAAATTTACAGTTAGTTTGATTCTTGTTCATTCAATATATGTTAAACTGTTACTTGGTACCAGGCAATATTCTCAGGAACTGTTAGAAAACATCTAATCTTACTTCTATGTAAAATAGGGGTGTTAGCCTTGATTAAAACAAAGCAAAAGAAACCAAACAAAAAATCCTCTTTTAGAAGTCTTTTAAAAAAACAAGTCTATAAGTACACATGAAAGCTTATACCCAAATTACTTCTTTTCTTTTTTTATAATTATTATTTATTATAATTTATTCATTTTGTATCCTGGCTGTAGAGCCCTCAGTCATCTCCTCCATATCCCAGCCTCCCTTTCTCTCCTTGCCCCATGTCCCTCCCCTAGTACTTAGCAGTGGGAGGTAGCCAATCATTTCCCAAAGACCATTTTTTATAATTTGGCAAAGTATACAGCCATCACACTGTAGTTTTAATATGCAGCAGATCTAGTCTTTTTCTAAAACCTTTGAAGAATAGTGCTTCTGTGGAATAACTCCAGAAAGGATAAAAATACAAGATTTATATAGAGATGAAAACTATCATTATAAAAATACTTCTGTAGTTTGTGTCTGTACACAAAACTATTTTATGGATAAATTCACAAACAATCATTCTTAAGAACTAGCTCCTCACATGAACATATGCTGATGATACCAGGCACGTTCTGGACAGGATGGCTATAGATCATAGTCCACTTAGTTCTCAAAATCTTAAAAAAATAAAAATAATGTACTTTTGCTGCATCAAGAAGAGATGACCTTTATCAAAAAGCAGTTTTCTCCCGTGTTTCCTGTGCTAGTAGGTCTAATATTTGATGCACAACTTTCTGAAGTCTTGGTATGACACTACTTGAATTTGTTTTCACTAAAAAGAAAACATCCAGTGACTCACATAAAGAAATACCTTGTTTGTCATTCAGCTTTTTTTTTTTTTTAAAAAATCAAATTTAGTGACTATTCTTTGCATACCAGTGTTAGAAGATTTATCATGGTCAAATATTTTATGTTTCATTGTTCTCTTGCCCCAATTTTAAGTGTTTTAAGGCATTATATTCTTGTGTCTTTGTTCTTCATAAATATAAATATGTTGTAGCTGATAAAGAATTTTTGAGGCTACTGCATGCCTCTTTAAATAAAAAAAAAACTTAACATTGTCTGTCAATGGACATTAAACAATATCTTATAGCATAAAGCACTACTGAAATTCAAAGCAAATGTGATAGTACAAATTAGAAATTTTAGCTTATCTGAAAAAGAGAATTGGAGAAGAAGAAAATAACAATCATGGTGAAAATGGGCTATCCCTTATTGTTTACATAAGTCATCAATCTAAAATATAACATTCTTCCCACAATTAATATAATTTCAAAAGTTGAGTGTTATTCCTCTTCATTTCTAAGTAATATATTGTCACTGAAAAACAAACTTAACAAATACTTCATCTAAAAAAAGCTTACTCTTTTTTTTAAAGCTCAGATGTTTTTCTGAAGGATTATTTCATAATGTGAATTGTGTATTCCTTTTTTTCTTTTATTAAATATTTTTTACAATTTATGTATTATATATCATGATTGAAGCCCACTCCCTCAACTCCTCTTATTCTCATCTTTCCTCCCTCTCCCCCCCATCCCCTTTCCCTAGTCTACCGAAAGGGGAAGTTCTCCTCTGCCATCTACCCATAGCTTATCAAGTCTCATCAGCACTGCCTGGATTCCCTTCATCTGTGGCCTACAAGGCCACATAGCCATTAGCAAATGATCAAAGAGCAGGCGACCAAGTTCATGACAGAGGCAACCCCTGCTCCCCTTACTCAGACACCCACATGGAGACTGAGCTGCCAATCAGCTACATCTGAGCAGGGTTTCTAAGTACTCTTCATGCATAATCTTTGGTTGGCACATCAGTCTCTGCGAAGACCCCTGGGCTCAGGTCTTTTGGCTTTGTTGGTCTACTTATGGTGTTCCTGTCCCCTCCAAGTCCTTCCTTCTTCTTCCATAAGACTTCCTGCCTTCTGCCCAAAGTTTGGCTATGAGTCTCAGCATCTGCTTTGATATACTATCAGGTGGAGCCTTTCAGAAGACCCTCTTCTTCCTCTTTAATTTTTTTTCCCGTGATGGCCTTTGGGCTTTTCTCACTTTCCACAAACCATCAAGTTGTTTTACTCTTTCATAAACATACACACAAGAGCTCACAAGGAATAAATAAACATGTCAGGAGAAATAATAAAATGAAGGTCCAAGAAAATGCCACAAAACAACAAAATGATGGGAATTAATGCTGATAAATAATATAACTTTTACTTCAGACAAAATAACTTCTGTATTTAGAAAATACGTTTTCTTGAAGTTTGGCTTATGAACTAGTGTTCTACATTTTCGTACTTAATTGTTTCTCAGTTTATAAGCTCTTTGATTTGATAGTACCTTAAACTATAATCAAACCTGATTTTGAATTTTGAGTTTCTTTAAATAAATATCCAAGAAATTTAGGTCTTTTCAGCTATAAAAAATGTCCAATTTTTGGTACTTGAAATATATGTCTAGCAATTACTGTGTTTATAGTTATAAACTTTAGTAAATGACATAAGAAGAAGAATTAATCAAAGTCAGAAGCTGCAAATGTTTTTTTTTGTGAGGGTTGCTTGAAGGATGCAGGAGATATTTGAGAACTATGATATGAAGACCTGGTCTACTTATGCATATGCAGTTCATTTTGCTTATATGCACTTAAATAAAGTCAAGTAAAACAATCTATCACTTAAGGCTTATGAAGAATCTGAAATGTTTGTATTTGTCTGCTGATAGTTTTCATTTTTTACTTTCCTCTCTCTTCCTGTTTGGCTGGATCTTAAACTCTGAAGCCACTGACAACCATAAGAAAAAAATCAATCTAATTTTCCTTTTCAAGCTATTTTTTATATAGCTTGAGATGCCTGCTTGTTATGTGCTTCTCAGAAAACCTCATTCCATAAATAAATATTTTCTTCATAGTCTCTTAGTGTATGGCAATATTAACATCTGCACCAAGTCCAGGAGTAGTGGAGTTGCATATTTGTTCTTTTTATGCAGGGTAACTTATCAAACTAGAAACACTGATTTTTTTTTTTTTAAAAAGCTTGTTCTTTCAGTGATTTTTTTTTTTCATCATAATGTTTGGTTTCTATTTTCTGAAATGAAAAGAGCAAAAAATGAGAAGAATAAATAAAAACTCAAGTTCAGGGGATGTGTGATAACAACATATAAAAGTTGAAAGTATATTTTCAGAGATTGGATCTATATAGTTTATTTATGTGTTTATTCTCTTTAAAATGTACTTTGATGTCCAAGTGACTCGGGCTTTGAGTAACTTAACTTCTTTCTAATTTTAAATTAAGACTGGTTTTCTAAAGATGGCCAGGCATAGCCTTAATTGGAGGGATTGGGACACCAACCCAGCCACAATACCTTTGACCTACAGTTTGTCCTGCCTGCAGTGTTCTGGGATTGAAGCCTAGCATAATCAGCATCAAAGAGACCAGAAAGACTTCATCTAGCAACTGATGGGATCATAAGCGGAGTCCCACAGGCAGTCATTAGGAGGACTTTGGGGATTCTTGCTGAGGAGTGAAAAGAAGGATTGGAGGAATCAGAGGGGTCAGAGGCACAATAAGAACATGCCTCCCCGCCCCCCACCAGAATCAACTGTCCAGGATTCATGGGAGCTTGCAGAGATTAGGGATCCTGTGGGAGTCTGACCTAGGTCTTCTGTATATAAATTATGGCTATGAGGCATAGATACGAAGAAGATAAGTAACAAGGAGGTTCCAAGGGAGGATGTATAAATCTTACTTGGAAGGAGAGACAGAATAGAAAGAGGTGCTGGTCAAAGAGAACGAACACAGTAGGAGAAGGAGCACAGAGATCACACCTGGGCACAGTAGGTTTGAGAGGACAGAAGGGCTGTAGAAAAAAAAAAAAGAAACTGAGGGTGGGAGTATCTCTGTGACAAGCTGGAGACCTAAGTCATGGTAGGCTCCTGGGAAGATATGCAAAGGACTCAAGCAGAAAATCCTAGTAGCAGAAGCTATATGACTGAATAGGACACCCTCTAACTAGACTAGTCTCGTAGTAGAAGGAGGAAACACAAACCCACCCACAAAAACTTCAAACCCAAATTCACCCTGCCTACAAGATGTGCAGGGATAAATATAGAGCAGATAGAGCAGACAGAGCAGAGATTGAGGGAATGCCCAACCAATGCCTGGCCCAACCCAATACCCACCCTATCAGATAGTGTAAAACCCTGACACTATGAATAACATACTCTGCTAAACTTGCAGAAAGGAACCTATCAGTAGTCCTCTGAGAGACTTCCCAGCAGAGCCTCAAAAAAGATGCTGAGACTCACAGCCAAAAATTAGCCAATATGTAGAGAGTCTTGTGGAAAAGAGGGAGGAAAGAGAAACTTACCTGAAGGTGACAGGAGCATGACAAGAAGACTGACAGAGACAACTAACCAGGGCCCAGAGGAGCTTCCTGAGACTGAAGCATCAACCAAGGACCACGTGGTAACAGAACCTAGGCCCTCTACAAAGATGTAGCATATGGGCAACTTAGGCCTCATGTGGGTCCTCTAGTAAGGGAAGTGGGCACTATATAGGACACAGACTCACTTGCCAGATTTTTGATCACTTCCCCTGACTGGACTGCCTTAACAGACCAAAGGGGAAGAGGAGATGCTCAACTTGATTCAACTTGATGGCTAGGGTGGATGGCAACGCGAGCTTCCTTTTTTTTTTTTTTTGAGGAATAGTAGAAGGCAGAGGGGGGGAGGTAGAACTGGAAGAGGAGGAAGGATGTGGCTACAACCAGATTGTAAAGTAAATAAAAAATAAATAAAAGAAAAGAAGACATTAAACAAGAAAAAAAATTGTGGCTGAGTAGATTGGTGTTCTTGTGGGATTCCTAACAGTGGGAGTAGGGACTGTCTCTGACACTTTTGCCTGCTTTTGAGACCATTTTCCTCTTTCTGGTTGCCTCATCCAGCCTTAATACAAAGGAAGGTGTCTACTCTAACTGTAACTTGTTATGCTGTGTTTAGTTGATGTCCCTGGGAGGCCTTCTCTTTTCTGAAGGTGGGTAGTAGGAGGTGAATCTGAGGAAGAAGGAAGGTGGGGGAAACCGGGGAAAGAAGAGGGAGGGGAACTGCAGTCAACATGTAATATATGAGAGAAGAATAAAAAAGAAAGAAAAAGACTGGCTTTCTGTCTTCAACTCTGTCACTTGTAGATAAATCATACCTGTACCCCATAGGCCAGATATGCAAAATAATGCAAATTACAATACTAACTACACATGTAGATACTAACAACATTCATAAGTCTACATTAACAGTAGCTAAGTCTTTATACCTTGAAAGCTACAAACTAGAACTTTTTCCTACTCTTTTCTTAATCATGAATGTTTAACTACTCAGTAGACATTTCAAAATATAAAAAGATGGAAATTATATCACCTTCTTTAATAGCCATTTATTTAATCTTATTGATAAATATAACACTTCTTCAGTGTGATGTTTTCTAATTTATTTCAAAGTTTTTCTGTCTTTTAATATACTTAAGAAATAATAAATAGCATCATTATCACTACCAATAATGTATGCCAGTTACTAACTTTGCACCATGTAACCTATTTTTATACCATTTTAATTGGATTTATTATCTCTTCCTTTGACTTTCTGAAGTCTGTTCATCTCTTTTGAATTCTGGTAAGTCCAGGTATTCTATAATAAGAATCTGACTTATATTTTTTAAAAAAAGTATGTCATCCAGTTATTTCTAAATAGTTACATTATTCATTATATATTATTATAATTATAATTAATATATTACAGTAATATAATATTAATTAGCTTATAGTTTGTTTCCTAATTATATACTGACATCCCTCTAACATGTTAATTTTATAATACCTAAAATGAACAGCTTTGGCTTGCAAAATTATAATTATGGTAAATTTTAGAAAGACTTCTGAAAATAAAGAAATTATATTACATAAAATATTCATATTTTAAAAGAGTTTATAGTTAAATACATGTCAATAATAAGTTAGATTGCTATCATAGTTTGAGAGTAGTTTAACTATTATGTTAATCTAAATATAAGTTCTATTCACAGTAAAATCCTAACACTACTAGTCTGAACGGTTAGGGAATGAACTACAAGAATTTAAAATTATAAAATGAACTCCTGTTATAGCTCTATTTTAGAGCATTTATTTGAATTCTAAATTTAAAAGTCTATTATTACTTACTGGTCTCTTCTGCAATGTGGAGCTAAGTCAATTCGGAATTCTGGTAGGTATATGAAACCAAGAGCCTTGATGTCCTAGGAAAGAATGAAAAAATGTAAGCAAAAGATTTAAGAGTACAAGCTACAACTCAAAATGGAGAACTAAGAAGCCAGTTCACCAGTGTTGTAACAAACATTTTTCTAGACTGCTTATTAAAAAATGCAGTTTGCTTAGCAAGCACTTGAAATAGCTTTCTGCAAAGCCAATGGGCCATGCATTTATTAAACCAGCAATGGTAACAACAGACTCTTAAATTAATGATTATACAGAATTATTTCAAAATATGCAAATAGCCCTCACTATCATTAAGGCATTCAAAGTAGACAAAAATATATCATTGAAGTCCAGCAAAGTGATCAGCTATAGCAGCACTTAACATGTAACTAAATCTTTAGTTGTCTCATATAAAATGATGATTACATGTATCAATCAGTTTTAAACTTCATTGCTTTTAAAACACCTAAGGATAAAATTGTTTAGCATATGAACATCACAGAGCATATTTTGATACACAATATTTTATTCCTTGTGTCCTTTATATCATATAAGCAACTCATCAAATTTGTAAGATAGTGTCATGAATTGATACAAGGTTGAACATCTCCCAACATATTTATAGAACTTACTAAGTTCTGGTCATCATAAATCTGCCCATGTTTACCAAGTCACTATTTTTATGAATCACAATTTCTTCCAGCATAAAAAGGGAATCTGATTATTGCTAGGTTGTAGTATTTGTGATTCATGAGGGAAAAGATACTTTAGAACTATTAAAGGTATGAGAAAATATAAGCCTAGTAATCTTGAAATTAAAAATAAAAATCTATACATTTAGTAACAATCCGATAAAAGGTTATCTAGAAAAACACTCAGAAAAGTGGAACCATTGAAAAGACTCCATAATATTGGCTCATCATATTTATTAAATTAATTGTAAGAATATTTTTTAAATTAAAATAAACATAGTGGATAGAATTTACTATCTGTTTACCTAGAGCTGGTTCCTAAAGAACTGAAATTTAAACATCTTGAAAAATAGGCCAATCTTGAAAAAGTGAAAAGGAGTAATGGTATGATGAAAATAAGGAAATGTCAAGTAAAATAAAGTCTAAAAGTGTTTGTTGGACTTAGCAACATAAAATAATATTCAGGGTTACCGTCTGAAAATTCTCCCAACAGAGTTGGGGGTGGGTGGGACAAGGGATTAGAGAACACTTGAAGTGAGTTAATGAAAAGAGAAAGCATAAAGAATAGTATCAAGGAGCCTGGCGGTACATGTCAGGATGATAAAGTAAAGACTTGAGCATTAGTAAAAGCTTTAATTTCCCCTCCTTACTGGGATAACTTGCAGAGCATCTTATACTCAGTACATCCAAAACAAAACTCATGACCTTGTCGGTTCAGTACTGCAAAATGATATTTGTTGGGCTTTATATCCAGTGAAATACACCTCATTCATTTAACTTTTATCTAAATGAAAGAATTCTAGCACTTAAAAAAAAGTTTAGGGGTCTTTTCTGAGACTGATTCTCCAACCAAGGACCATGCATGGATATAACCTAGAACCCTTGATCAGATGTGGCCCATGGCAGCTCAGCATCCAAATGGGTTCCCCTAGTAAGGGGAACAGGGACTGTCTCTGAGATGAACTCAGTAGCTGGTTCTTTGACCTCCCCCCCCGCCCCTGCAAGGGAGGAGCAGCCTTACTAGGCCACAGAGGAGGACATTGCAGCCAGTCCCGAAGAGATCTGATAAACTAGGGTCAGATAGGACCTCCCCTATCAGTGGACATAGATAGGAGCAGGGAAATGAGGGAGGGTGGGATTGGGAGGGAATGAGAGAAGGGGCTACAGCTGGGATACAAGGTGAATAAAATGTAATTAATGTAAAAAAATAAAAATTTAATTAAAAAAAGTGTGTCTTTCCAGCCAGATCACACAGACCTAGATCTTTGGATGTGATTCCTTGCCAAAATATCCATGTTGCTGGATTAAAATTCCTCTACATCCCAGATGTTGAAATTTAAACAGGCTATTTTGGCATAACATTAATTTAAAAATCATTTCCCAGGAAGTAGACATTTATATTTAATTTCCAATTTAACAGTTAAAATGGAGATTGTCTGCCATATACCCTTCCATACGCAGAGCATATACTATGACAAATAATATTTTGGCCTTACAAAGTGCCTATGTTGAGATAATCATCTTTAGTCAAGCATTGTTTCAGGAGAATGCAGAGAAAGAATTGCCAAACTATGTTGAAACCCTGAATAATTGCATTATAATTGTGTTAAAATACAGATCTTTAATTTTTCCTTTATATTTTCCAAGAAGTCATCTATTTTTCACTTATTAAAAATGTATTAATATTGTTGATTATATGTGAAAAAATAACCTGCAATAACGCAGACTATATGTAATATAACTATAACCCACTGATAGTTTTGGTTATTTGGGTGTATAGTCTTGGCAGTTTACTGAGGAAGAGATGAACTGAGCTTATGGTGAAATACCAAAAAGCTTACTTCCTACTTTCAAGTACAAGAATTCTTTTCAAAACATTGAAGGAATTAGAAAGAGGTTTCACTTGAAGATTTATATAGGATGTCCCGAAAAAATCATTTCCCCAGAAGGCAGACAGATACATTTAACTTTCATTGTAACAATTAAAATGGACATTGTCTGCCATATTAATAAGACAGTTACAACTCTACTATCAATTGAAGTGGTGTTTGCCTTATGTCTGAACCCCTTCTTGCCTGTATAGAAAATAGTTTATTTTCCCAGTCTTCTGCCCAGTTTCTCTCTTGATCTTATCCAAATGACCAAGAAACACTGCCCTCTTTCACTATTTGGCTTGGATTGTTAAGCTTAGAAATTCTGAAGAAGATTCTTTACATTATGCCAATAAGTAGATGGTAGTAATATCTATGCTATGGCACTGTTCTCAATAAGTAGATACTAAGTGGTATTTCTTATACACACAGATTAACATGCTTTGAAACCACATTTTTTGATATTTCTATTTTTGTCCTCCATAACAAATTATTTCCTCAACCCTTATCATTTAATAGGTACCCAAGGTTTCTTTTTAATTTTTTCTTAGTTTTATTTTATTTGATGTGTATGAGTGTTTTGCCTGAATGTATGTATGTGCTTCACTTGCATGTCTGGTGCCCATGGACCTCAGAGGAAGGTATAAGATCCCTTGGAACTGTAGTTATTGATGTAACCACGTGGTGTAAGGCACCATGTGGGTACTGTAAACAGAACCCAGGTCCTTTGCAAGAAAGCAAGTGAGAACAAAAGACAAAACTTTGCTTAATTCTGCAGTCAACTTGCATTCCAGGATCATGAGACCTTCACAAGACTAAGTACTCCCCAATCCCTGAACCTGCCATAAGGATAGTTATCAGTAAGTATAAGGTACATCCTAGAGCAGAAGGAATTATCACCCAAGAACCACATTTATTCCTCAAATGATGTCAATGTTAAGGGCTTCTTCAGAACACCTTGCAATATCAGAACTGAATCACACCTATACCAGGACTGCTTAATTATGTATAACTCTGGTCCCCTGACCCAATTCTTTCTCTACTTTAACCCAAAGTAATGTCAGTAAACCAAAAACAGATTTAGGATTACAGGAACTATCTATTCCTGTTTCCAATAAGACCATAATGAATTAATCTCCTTTCTCTATTTTCACCATTTCTTTAAATTTTTATATCACATCTAATCAATTAATTGACTACCCAGTTTATTCTTCCCTAGGCCTTTGGACCTAAAGTTCTGGGCCTCTTCTCTGTTGAGATTAAAAAATAAATAAATTAACATTAAGTGGTTTATGGTCAGCCAAATATACAGTGTAATTTACTTTAAAGGGACATGTTTGTTTTAATTAATTTTAAAAACATATTTGTTACAAGACACTTAGACCCAAAAATCTTTTGCCTATTTTCCCTGTACTTTAAAAGAAATTAGGAAACTAAAGTTGGTTTAAAAACCAACTTTGTTACAATTTGGTCAAACTACGAAATGGGAAGAGGGTTAATTTCTTCATATTTTTCCTACAATAGTGCTACAATTTTAAAGAAAAAAATGAAACAAATGCAAGGAAATCATAGGATAAATTCAGTGAGATAACTTGTTTAGAACTCTGGTAGATTTCTTCCTATGAGGCCAGCACTTCCTCTCACTTGTATGGGGTCTCTAGCCTTGCCTTCCAATAACATGGGAATCCTGGTGAATTTTTAATGTTCATTTTCAATAACGTATTACTCAAAAATATTCTCAGGACTCTTCTGTTATGATACTACATCACCTTCCTGGCTAGCTTTAGGTAAACTTGACACAAGTTAGTGTCATCAAAAGTAGGGAGCCTCAATTGAGAAAGTGATACCATAAGATCAGGTTGTATGCAAGCCTATTGGGAACTCTCTTAATTAATGACCAGTGGAGGAGGACCCAGCCCATTGTGCATGATACTGTCCCTGGGCTGATGGTCCTGGATCTATAAGAAAGCTAGCTGAGTAAGTCGTGGGAAACAAACCAGTAAATAGTGTTCCATAGCCTCTACATCAGCTCCTTCTTCCATATTCTTGTCCTGTTTCAGTTACTATTCTGACTCCCTTCAGTGATGAACAGTTATCTGGAAGATAAGCCAAATAAATCCTTTCCTCCTCAACTTGCTTTTGTTCATGGTGTTCTACCACAGCAACAGAAAGCCTAATTAAGACAGGTTGGTGCCAGGAGTAGTGGGGTATTTCTGTGACAGGCTTGACCATGCTGCTTGTTGGTAGAATGTGAACTTTGTATTAGGAAAGCAGTTGAATACTGTGAGCAAGGCTTCATGGAGCATAATAGTAGCATAGAAGGTAGTGGTGCAGAAAACAATGCAGAATATGGGAGTGGCTCTGAGGGTGATTTGAACTATGTGGGTCTGGTTTAAGAGGTTTCAAAAAAAAAAAGAATATTAGTAAGTGTCCTAGAGACCATTCTTGTGGTATTTTGCCAAAGAGTGTGGATGCTTT